ATGGAGAGGAAGGGAGGGAGGGAGGGAGGGCCGGTCCTCGAGCTCGAACCAAAGAGAAACAAAGTTCCGCGGCCCGTTATTTTACACCGTGGAATTTGCTTAACTTTATCTCCCCGGAAACTTTGAAACGATCCCTTATTCCCAACCGAGAGATCACTGCTGCTAATTTCCAATTTTTCCTCTCCTCTCCCCCTTCCAATTTTGCTGGCTTTATTTACAACTAACAATTTTCTATTTTATAACTCGCGCGAATCGATAATTAACGAAGAATTCGCACGGATTTTAATTCAAACATTGGACAATAAGTTTTCTTCCTTTTCATTCTGGAAAAAGAATATCCCGTTTCCTATCGTAAATTCGACTTTTGAAAAAGAAAAACGTTTTGCATCGACACGATTTCTTTTTTATCGCGATTAATTTCTCTGCGAGATTACTATATCGATGTAAAATTCGAGTTATCTTTTCAGAGAGAGAGAGAGAGAGAGGAATCGTATTCAAACACCTTTCTTATTATTTTACCAGCGAGAGACACGATTGGATTAAAAGCGACGCTAAAGTGAAAAGAAAAGAAAAGAAAAAAAAAAAATGATAAAATTTGTTCTTTGGCAAAGGTAACAACGAAACGCGATCGACGCGAGCGAAACGCAATATCGGAATCGAAATACCGATCTCGGTTACCAGGCTTGAAATTCGAGAACCACCCTTAAAATGGCTACCTGCTTTTATTTCCGTCGAGCCACGAAACACTATTTCACCGCGCGTCTCTCCTCTTTTTTTCTCCCGCTCGCCAAACTTATTCCCCCCTGTCCGCCTTTTTCCAGTTCCAGTTTCGATTTATGATTTGTCGAAGCCCCCCCTACGCCCCCCGGAGACCGCCTTCTCGTGGAACGCATCTGCATAACACGAGCGTCGCCGAGCCCGTCCAACCAACAACGTTCGCGATAACGAACGATGCACGCGATCCAATCGAGTTCCCTTCCTCCCTTATTATTTTTCTCCATTACGTACTTTGCCCGTTAAAATCTTGAGGCCAAATTTTCGTTTCCTATTCGCCGTTTTGCTTGTCGAGTTGATATCGAAGGATCTCGGTTGAGAGAAAAGGAAGAAGAAACCGCATCCGTTACTTCCATCGAGAAATATATAAAAGGGAAACGTTTTGTTTCGAAACGTTTAAAAATAAAGTCACCGATCGAAACGGACAAGTCGAGACGTAAGAATCGCGGAAATATCCTCTTCGCTCGACTGGTTAAGAAGAATCGATATAAAAAAAATCGGAGTGCAAATATTATGCGACATCCGCACGATAAAATGCGAACAGTTCTTTTTTCCTGATATTCGTTCGCGAAACATAAATATCGTAAAATTTGTATAACTTTTCCATTCATTTTCATCGTCCTTCGAAGACTATGTAATATTCTCTGTGAATTTATCGAAGAATACGTTTCTATCTTTGATATAAATCTCGCTACGGATTGATCTTTCGAGTGGAACGATCGTAAAAAGTAGGCGCAAGTATCGATGAATCAGGGAGTAGAATAAAAAGTAGAATAAAAAAAGGGAGAAAAATTTGGAATAAGGCTCCCCTCGGATCGTTGAGCGAAATAGTTGGTTCATCGTTGCAAATGATACGATGCCTCTATCGATTCCATCGCGAGACCTGCTCTTTTTCCTCTCCGCTCGTGCTCCTCGCCTTTGACCTTTCACGGTTTACGTGGATCCTACGTGGTCGACTCGGCCGACCGATTTACGGTTCGACGGATAGAAACGTTAGAGTTGCTTCGAGTTGCTTTCCACCCAGTATACGTAACAATATCACGTTGCATACTCTTCCTTTAAAGAAGAAATAAAGAGGAGGGAGAAGTTTTTCGATTTAATGTCCAGGAAAGGAATCGTTTTTTCGAAAGATATAACCGATTTTTATTCGATTCGAGAATTATTTGGATTATCTGGATTGATTATTTGGATTCGAAGAAAATGGGCGAAAAATGATGCAAATTGTTAATTTCGTTTTCCATTATCGAGCCTTAGCAATGAATTTTTCGACACGAGGATGTTTGGAATAATTAAAATAAGATTGGCGAGATAAGAATAGTATTTGGAACTGGGAAAATTAGATACATTGAAACAAAGTATTCCTTATAATATAAGGATAACAGAATATTTGAAACGATGAGAATATTAGAGTTAGAATTAGAGTTCGTGATTCAAAATATAATTAGAGAGGATAATGGAATGACCGAGCATTTCGAGAATATCGCGAGTTTAAAATAGAAATATTAGAATAAAATTTTGAAACGTGGCGACGCAGACGAAATATCGAAACAAACACACGCTTTACAGAATTGGGATGCAAAATTTTGCGTATAAGAAAAGTATTTTTCCTTTGCGCGATATCAAAGAAGAAGAAAAAAAATAGATATTTTTACACTCGTATCACATTTACATCGAGCATTCTATTAAATCATCCTATTAAAATCGACGTTCTCGAATTAACTCGACCAAACTCGAGCATAATATCTTGATTAAATTTCGTATCCGAAAACTGTTAAGGAAAAAAGCAAGCAGTTCTCAAACAGGAGAGGTTCACCCAATATCTGGAAGTATGCCGCGTCGTTTGTGGCCCATTAGCAGACGGTGCAGCCGTCGTTTCCGGCCGAAGAGTCGAGCTCGCGTGAACAAAAGCGGTTCGCCGTGCCAATACCGTTTACTTCATTGGTCGGATGTAGCTGAGGCCACGCGAGTGATTACATTTGCCCGCCATTTCTAATTAGATAATTGCACTCCCTCGCGAGCAAACCTTCTCTCCTCCTATCCTTATTATATACCTTCCCACCGTTCCACAAACGGCTCCACGGTTTGTTATCGATCGCAATTCTCCAAGATGGAAAAAATCCCATCCTGTCCCTGTCGCGCTGCTTCTAGACGAGATACACTCGAGATCTCCATCGTGCTTTTCTCCAGGATTCAATAGAAAGGAAACGTGTTATTTTCCTTGACACAAGCAAAGATAAAAATTAATTTCCCTTTAATGCTCCGTTTCGATGGTCGACAATTTCGCTTATGTAACAAACACGATGTTTTTCTTTGAACAACGAAATCTTTATCTTATCCCCGTTCGAAGCAGAGGCAAATCGGAAGCAATCGAAATCGATTTCATCGATTTACTCGTCCCAATCGAAAATTCAAATTCGTTTCATCCTCGCGTTGCGAGTTTTATCGAATTTTAGAAGAGAAGAAATTATTCCTTCTTCTTCTAATTGCTCCATCTTCCAAAAAATTCGTTCCACGAAACGTAATGCGCGTGGACAGATGGCGTTTGAACTGCTTCGCACGGTTAAGTATCGAATTTTGGTACAAACGAGTGCGAAAGAGAGGCGTTTTATTCGAGTTTCGAATGTCTACACTACGCTATATCCCTCAATTGTCAACTTCGACCAAGGTTTCCAAGGAATCTCGCTTCGAATCAATCGTAGCTCGATCTAATTAGCGAGGAGGCGACGCGACGCGAATTCGGTATGAAGCAAAGCTTTCCCGAATTCGTTTTCGCATGGAACACCGAGTCGATAATTACGAGACGTTTACGAGACGAGGAGAAACGTAAATCCGTACGACTCCAATTTTCTAAGAGTTAATTTTACATGATGGCAATTGTGTCGAATACCGAATGTTGTTCAAACATTTCTGAATCTGAAAATTATTAAAATGCGGGGCAAGGTATTTACGAAATTCGATCAATCAATCAATTATTAGATTAAGATCGCGAAGGAAACGCGAATAACATCGTATTGTGAAAAAAAAATCACGATTAATTTTAAGCATAATTTAAGAATAGAGATTTAAGCGCAATGGAAGAGGAAAAAGAGAAATATGAAAATTAAAATGATAGAGAAAAGGGATAAAAGATGAGCATATTAAATAATAGTTAGTTAGTACGCGGTGGAGGTGTAATTATGAACGCAGCATGGTTCAAATAACTGCAATTCTCTAATTAGGACGTAAGTACTTCCTGTAACAGCAAGAATAGAATATTTCTCGCTCGATAGACACTTAGTGGTGGCAAGATACCAACCGTTTCCCCGCCAATTTTTGAAATTTCTGAAAGTTTCCACGTCGTCGATATTTTTAACTCCAATATTAGAAAAAAAAAAAAATAGAGAAATAAAGATAGGCGCGGAATCAAGAGCTTAAACGAGGAATATCATAATCGTGGAATTTCTACCTTACTATTAATCACTGTTTCGCCGTTAATAAACGGGTTAAATACGAAAGGAATCTACATTTCCTTCGCCTTCCTCGTCAAACGGAATCCCCCCCTCAAGTATAATAGCTTCTGTGACAAGTTCGCGGTAAAATGGTGGAGGTATAAAATAAACACCCTTATCCTCCGTCTCTCTATTACTCCGAATCGTTAAACCTTTATTAAATCATTTTCGTACGTCTTAAACCGGCAATAAACCGGCAGTACATTTTTCATTCGAGATGGATGATGAAATAATATCAAATTTTCATCATTGAATTCGTGTTCCGGACGATTGATCAACTTGATGACGTATCGATTCGAGAAGAAAGTTCGTGTCGATTATTATAAAAAAAAGAATGGAGTGAAAATGAAAAAGGAAAGTGTATCCGTTTTAATGAGAACAATATCGTTAAAATTTATCGGGGATTTCTCGTTGAAACGGAGAATCGTATGGCTGGAACAATCGAGCGCGCTCGTAAAAACGATTCGCGTTCGTTACGCATGGCAAACATCCGTAATCTCCAATAATGAACCAGCCGCAAAGATCGCCCGGTCTGTATCGCGATTAGGTACACAATTTCCAGCGGAACTGTGAACGATGACATGGAAATGCCATTCAAGTCGGGCCGTGCGCTCGTAGACGGAATGAATCTCACTGATTGGACGAAGACTTTTCGATCGATCGCGAACGGTTTACCACGATTTCTTCAAATTGCCCGTTCCTAATTTGGGATTGAACTGTTCATCGATAATAGACGATAAATGTCGTCGTGATTAAAGTTGTGGAGAGAGTGAATATAAAATTTGAACGGGATTCCAATCTTTCAAACACAGTTTTAACCATCGTCGTTGACGATCCTTTCGTCAATTCCTCCTCGAATTTCGCGTGCTTAAAGCGAAAGATGAAAATGAAAAAATGGCGGCGGACCAATGAGTTGGCGAAAAATTGTTAGCGCTTCGAAACGAGATTCCGTTTGGAGATCAACTCATCTTTGAGGCTAGCCGTTGGCTAATAATGATCAGGCATCCATTTAATTAACGGAATCGAACACGGTCTTACGCGTCGAGATCATAGACAAAGCTGTGGATCCCTGCACATCCAATTCGTCAGGATTAATCCCGTGTTCGTCGGTGTGGCGCCAACCGTTATTGTCGCGACGCTGTCACGTCGCATCCGGTTATATTACGAAAAATCGAACGAAGAATATTGGGTGGATTAACAGGTATGAAACTTGGCTCGAAAAATAAGTGAAAAGTATAGTCGAAAATATGGTTGAAAATTGCTTTTTCTTTACGTATAAAATAAATATTGCTCG